TTTATAAATTGGTATTTTGTCGCTCGTACAACTCTTATCACAATCCATACATTCATCCATTATGTAAAGCACATTTGTGCATTTGTAGCCATTATCATTTTCAATACATTTTCTTTCTACCTGAGCCCTTGGTATCTGCTTCTCATTTTTCCCCTCTCCGCACCCTCATCACTACCTCCTACTCGCTAGTTTTACGGAATTCAGAATATCCGGATGCAGGCCAAAACATTTCACATATAATGCCTTTGGGGGTGGGGTTAACTATCCTTTTGGTCCTAAATTATCCTGGGAATGAATGAACACAACTCAGTTTAAACAGCACTGGTGCATTACCAGTTGAGCTGCTAACCAGGGGAGCAAGATGGGGCTGTGTCTTCTCGTAAAGACTTCCGTCCTCGGAAACCCACAGCCGCAGTTGGACCGTCCAGTAGGGTCATGAGGAATCGGAATCGACGGACCATGGCAGGGAGTGCGTTCTGAGTTTGGAGGAATCACGTTTGGAGTCTGCGGAAAGAAGCCGGCTCCCCTTCCCTCCTTCCCAGCTACCCGGGGCGCAAGTGGCATCTCACGATCAGTTTCCCCTTCACCCTGATCAGCATTCGGATTGTCCGCACCCGGAGAGCAGACCAGGGACTGCACCCCACAAACGGCAAGCCCCAAACCGTGTGGCTCCAGAGACACAAAGGAAGTGCACCTGGAGCTCTGGGCACCGGACGGGAAGCCGGCCCCCTCTGCCGGAAGCCAGCGCACAGGGAACGGGAGTGGAGGTGGGTGTAACCTGGGGAGCGCGAGACCGCGAGACGGCGGAGACTGGCCGCCGCGCCCCCGACGCGCGCTCTCCGCCCCGGAAGTGGCTGGGCGGGACTATTCCCTCCTCGGCACAATACCGGAAGTGCTGTGGGGGAGCCCGAAGGGGACGAGTGTTGGAGTGACACTCCCGGGACTCGGAGCTGTGGGCTGCGGGGCTGGGGTCAATGTGGCGCTCGCGTGGGGACGGCTATCGCTGGGACACCGCGGAGACGCCGGGCGGGGACGGGTTTTGGTGTGTCACCGGTGCATGCTGAAGGAGCCGGGTGGCCATGGGGATGTGGTCGCCGCTGGACGCCATGTGGGAGATGCCGGTGGAGAAGCGGATCTTTGGGGTCGTGTTGCTCTTCTCCTGGACGGTGTATCTGTGGGAGACCTTCCTGGCGCAGCGGCAGGTGAGCCTAGGCAGGGCCCGCCTCGTCGACTCCCGGCCAGCCCCAGGCCGGACGCGACCCCGAGCCGCTGGCGGATCGCCGGGTCCCAGCACCAGCCCGAGCCCCTCGGAGCCGCGGCCCGGCGGCGGCGGCTGACCCCCGGGAGACCGTGGCGCCCCAGGGACTCTCCGCCACGGCGTCTTGGGACCCGATCCCGTTAGGGCCTGGGGAAAAGGCAGGGCTGCTGCCTTCCTTGGCTTGGGGTGAGCCCTCCTGGATCCTGCCCCAGCTTCCGCGCGCAGACCTCGCCTCCGTCTCCTCGTCGGTGACCCACGAGCCTTCAAGGAGATGCCAACGTTTGAGAATTACCTCTTCCCCCCGACACCTGGGTAATCATGTTCAACCTCAGAACTAGGAAACCACTTTCCTGTAAAGAAGGGTTTTGCAATTCTCCCAGGGCCCTCAGCACTTTTATCTTAAAACGAGAGAGAGAAATGTATATACATATTGTCTTTTGCCCAACGAATTATATGTACTTTTTCTTACACGTCTTTGTCACTTTTTATTTTCAAGAGAAAATAATGATTGCTTGGTAATGACTCCCTGGAGATAGCCATAATGCACAGCTTGTTGGGTGAGGAATCTGAACTTTAAGATAAGATTGGATTTTAAGTTTGGCCTTTTTGCTTGCATTCCGTCACTGCAGTCAGTGTTTAACCAACACTGTTCTAGACTGTCATGGAATTATCTTTACTAAATGATGGCTAACAAAATCACTGTTTAATTGATGGAACTCTGCTTTAAAAAAAAAGCATTATTGCCTCTGTAAATTTCTTCCCTCCAACAACATTCTGCATGAGCCTTTTAACGGATAGTTTTTGTTTTCCTCTACTTGTTGATGTCCAGGTTATATTTTATCTCTTCCTTTAGCCCAGGGTATTCAAAGCTGTACCTTTCTCACACACCTTTTTGAATAGGTCCATTAGAACAATTTTGTAGACCCTTTGCGCACAAGTGTCCAAGTTGGAGGGTGGGGTATTTAACACGTTTGCTTTAATGATAGGCTAATTACAATAACTACTTTTCAGTAAAATTTTGTGTACTGAGTGATGTTGTAATGCTATCTCCTCAGCTTTTATCGAAGGTTTGGTAAGAAATGCAAGTATATATAAAGAGTATTTGTTATAAAACCATTGAACAAGATGCGGTCATTATATATATAGTGCCTGTTCTCTGCATTATACTCCCTGCACTGAAAAGGTGTGTTTTTCTTGAAGACCTGATAACGTCCCTACCTAAATTCCCCTTAATTTAGCTTCTAGGAACCTCAGGACCAAATTTAAAGAACAACCACAATTCCGGTAATACTCATGTTTACTATATTTGCTACCTCCTTCATTCCTAAATTTGTTTTCTATTTTATAGGACATTTGTTTGGCATAGTGGTTACTCACAGGGTTGCTAACCTCAGGGTCAGCAGTTCAAAACCACCAGCTGCTCCTTGGGAGAAAGATGTGGCTTTCTACTCCCAGAAAGAGATACAGTCTCAGAAACCCACAGGGCAGTTCTACCCTGTCCTATAGGATCACTCTGAGTCAGAAACAACTCTGTGACAGTGAGCTGAGATTTAACACGTGCAATGAACAGTACTCTTTGTGATGCTGCAGTTTTGTTTTACATATGCAGATTAGGGTGATGACAGCCCTAATTTTCATTTTACCTAGTCAGCTCTCAGATTTTACTTTTCTGTGCCATTTATCTCAATGGTCGATGTACTTGATCAAGTACATTATTTGTAGATGTGTAAAACAAATCCAATGAGCTTAAGTGATAAGTTAATGCTGTAAACCATTCATTGTTTGAGCCTAAACGATTATTGTAGTAAAATGAGTTCATTTGACAAAGTGTTTTCTTCAAAATATTTCAGAGAAGAGTCTATAAAACGACAACTCATGTACCACTGGAGTTAGGACAGATCATGGACTCAGAAACATTTGAGAAATCTCGACTCTACCAGCTGGATAAAAGTACTTTCAGCTTCTGGTCAGGACTCTACTCGGAGATTGAAGGCACTGTGAGTAATTTACTTCTTGGAGAGCCCATTTATCAAATTGGTGATGACTTTGTAATGTGTTTCCTGTTTTTCTGACCCAAAGGAAACAACCAAACCTGCAGATCCAGAATGCTTTGTAATCTTTGTGTTATTGATAAGAATGGGTCTGGATTGAAAGAAGTGGTAACCCAACAGCTGTTGAGTCTGTTGAACATTCTAGAATACCAGCACCAGAGGTGAAAAAGAAAGTTGTGTGATTTGTTCCTCTTGAAGCCTCTCAGGTGTCCTTCACATTGTGGCCAGAGGAACCTTTCAGCCACGTAATTTTGATCTTGTTACACTCCTTCCTGTATAAGACCTTTCAATGGCTTCACTTTTTTCACTGGGAAAATCCCAAACATTTTGGCATGGCTTATGAGGTTTTTTGTTAACTGGTAACTGTTTACTTGTGCTTTGTCTTTTTTTTTTTCCTTTGTATAAAATTTTATTTTTGTTGAGGGTTGAGACATCCTTCATAGTTTTTTCTTACTGAGGATAAAACAGTCATAAAATAATCAAGACCAGAGCAGACAAGCTTTCAGTGAAAACTGAAACTCAAATCCCTTTGACTTTACCTGGAGGCAATGTGCTTCGGCTTCTTATTCCTTTCTCTTCCCCTATTGGTTAACCACTCCCCACCCACCCCCACTCACCCTTATTTCATGATTGGGTTTTTTTTCACATGCTCATCCCAGCTGTTCTGGGATGCCCTTCCTCTCCCTCTTCCTCTCCACCCTCTCAGAGAAGCCTGGCCAACCCCTAGGATGAGACTGAGACCACATCTCTTCCAGGGACTTTTTGAACCTCCTGCTCCCCCTCCAGTTTGAGTTAAGTAGCGTCCTGTTCTTACATTGGCTTGAACTTCCTTGTTTCCTGACAGGTGGGTGGCTCCATAGAGAAAGTACTTTAAGGTTGACCACTTTGTACATAGTGCCAGCCGTGAAATAAAGACTTCATATTTGTTGACTGGAACCATGAATGACAGGTCACTTTTACTCAGGAAAAGAGGGTCAGCCCTACTCCTGGAAGAGAAGCCATATAATGAAGAGCAATATGTCTCAATCTTTTTATTATTATTTTTCTCTCCCAAGATTCTTTTTAGACATGTTTTTCCTGAACTCTCCCTCAAGGGAATTTTAATATCCTATACATACTGTGTATCTATTTACGTAGTGTGTTATCTGTGCTTTATATGGAAAAAGAGTAAGAACCTATTCTTACCCCCGTGGGGGCGCTATTACCCCAATTGAAAGTGAATGGTGGAGAAGTTAACTCTGGCCTGGAGTTTGAATCTCGGCTTCACCCCACTATCTGTGTGACCTCAACCAAGACACCTGTGTCTCAGTTTTAAAATCCACAGAAGCAGTACAGTACTAATAGTTATTCATAATATTGAGAAGGTGAAATGTGTAAAATGCTTAAAATGGTGCCTGACTCATTGTTAAGTATTCCATAAGTGTGAGATATTTTATTTATCATCATGATCATCATCGTTCCTTCAGAATGCTTCTAGAGCCCCAGTTCTATTAAGAGCAAGTCTCAGAAATGAAAAATAATTGAGATCAGCTACCATAATTGTTTGATGAAATAACTGGATGTATGTGTGTAGCTGTTAAACAATGACATCATCCAGCTGTTTCCTGAAAAAAAATTGGGGGCGAGGAATAAAATTGCATTCGCTTCTGGTGTGCATAACTATTGGTAGTAATTTGACTTTTCTTTATTGACTTTTTGATATTTTTATGACCACGAAGCTAGTTTAGTTACTGTGATGCAATTACTGTATTGAAGTGTAGTGATAGGACTCGATGTGTTCTGTACTCTTGAGAAGATGAATGTGCCCGAACCTGCTACTGACTCAGCCCCTGCGCGCCTGTCCTCATTCTGCCTGAGGGGGGCAGAGCAGGATGGTGCTTGAGGCTTTCCAGCCAAGAGAGAAAAGGTCCTGTGATTGTGTCGGTGTTGGTTAATTTTCTGCAGCGTTTCTTGTTAGGAGAAGGATGCTGGTAGGAAATCAGTCGTAGAGATTGATGAGAGAGAAAGGAGAGTAGAAATTGTGACTTTAGGAGGTATCCTCTTTCCTCTTCGATGTCTCTCTTTGTCTTCGCTCCGAAGGACCATGATAAAATGCCTGGAAAAGCATTTCGGTTCCTTTGGTTATCACGAGCGAACAGGTCCAGGAGAGATGGACAGTAGCGCGGTTCTTATGGTTGATGACTGGAAATGACAACCCCTGATCTTAGAGAGGGTGGTGGTGGGGAAATGTGTGTATAAAATGAGCACTTCGTAATTTGTTGTGGCTCAAACTACAGGTGGCCCTGACAGGCTAAGAACAGTAATCGTCCTCCTCCTCCTCATCATTAGCTGGATAGTGATTTTCCCCTCATACGTAGTTTTTATATTACTTTCTTTGATGTTTCTAAGAGCCTCCTGAGGTAGAAAGGACAGGCATTATTCCTTCTTATGGGTGAGGAAGCAAAGAGAAACAAAGGGCTTGGACATTTCATGGTCAAGTGACACTGGTCAATCCAGAGAACTGGTATCAAGCTCGGGTTTTGTAAGGCTTTAAATGACATTGAAGAAACAACCTGAGAAACCCCTAGGACAGCAGCATGAGGGTGCTAGACATGCCCTTAGGCCATCAGTAGCAAGTCTACCATTTGAAACGAACACATTTGCTGCCACTTTGAAACTTCTCTCTGAAAGCAAAGCTCATTACAATGAATAGGTTTATATTTTGGGGTCCCCCCACAAAATAAAAACAGGAAGGTTAATTTAGATTTTTTTTTAAGGTTTCCAAGAGTTTTGCTGAACAGATCTTTATTTATTTTTATTTTTTTAAATCCTTTTATTAGGGGCTCATACAACTCTTATCACAATCCATACATACATCAATTGTGTAAAGCACATTTGTACATTCATTGCCCTCATCGTTCTTAAAACATTTCCTCTCCACTTAAGCCCCCGGCATTAGGTCCTCATTTTTCCCCTCCCTCCCCGCTCTCCCCTCCCTCATGAGCCCTTGATAATTTATAAATTATTATTTTGTCATATCTTGCCCTGTCTGACGTCTCCCTTCACCCACTTTTCAGTTGTCCGTCCCCCAGGGAGGAGGTCACATATAGTTCCTTATAATAGGTTCCCTCTTTCCAACCCACTCTCCCTCTACCCTCCCAGTATCGCCACTCACACCACTGGTCCTGTAGGGATCATCCGCCCTGGATTCCCTGGATTTCCAGTTCCTATCTATACCAGTGTACCTCCTCTGGTAGATTTTTTTTTTTTTTTTTGGCCTCAGTGCTTTCTACCTGAGGCGAACCTGAGTAGTGGCCTTGTGTGTCCAATGACAAGTGCCACTGTTCACACAAATATGACTGAACTTCCAAGGAGAAAATGCCCGCTTTTATCTGGAAGCCTTCCCTGATATCTCACAGATAACAATGAAGAACCCACTCCAGAACTGGAAATAAAAGAGTGAACTAGATCTATTGTAGCACTGGTTCAAGATCTTAAAAATGCCTAAAAGCAAGTTGTGGAATGAGAAATAGGGTATGAACTCAATTGTATACATACTTGAAAGGCTGGCATCAGTCACTGTTTTGCTCATTTATACCAATGAAGAGCAGATTAAGGGATGGCCATAAGATGTCATGTCAGAGTCTCTCACAGTCACGGGTGTGACTGGTCTTTGTGTTCCCCAGACCCCCAGACAGGCAACATCAATTGATTCTTCTTGACAAAATGAGTTCCACAAGTTTAGTATCTATTGTGAGAAGTAGTGTGTATTAGCATACTTTTCCTCCCCCACACACACCGTTTTCAAATGTTCAGAGCTGCCCCGTAATGCCCTGGTACTTTGGTGAATGTCTATGTTCACTTTCCCTGCTGAGACCAAGAGTGGTACTGAGAAGTGGGGCCTGTTCATCTAAAACCCTTACTCCTGCCTCCAGAATCGCCTTTTCCTGACCCTGAGCGAGCACAGAGATTCCAATCCAGCCCCTGACTCTGGTAAGTGGGGATGGCTCTCCGCTTGTCTACAGACACACGCCAACGGTGTCTGCCTGAAAAGGGTCATCTCCTTTCAAGGGAAAGGAGTTAGTAAAGAAGCCATAGACTGTATTCGGTGCCATCTCTGCTGCTCATTAGCCGTACATTTTAGACAAGTTCTATAGCCGTTTTCAGTAAACTCAGTTCCTCGATTCAAAGAACCTTTATTGTGGCCTTTTCCCAAAGACACTTTAAAAACAGCTTTATTTTGTCTTTTTCTTTGTAATGCACTCTGATGTGACAGTTTCCTATACTATTCAAAAGTGACCAAAGTCTTCCGTGTTTTATAGCTGATTCTTCTCTTTGGTGGAATCCCTTATCTCTGGAGCCTGTCTGCACGATTCTGTGGATATGCTGGCTTTGGGCCCGAGTATGAGGTATGTGGTTCAGTAGCATCTACTTTCTTCTGCTTGGCAAGCTTTATGCCGAGGTTAGCAGGCTAGGTCTTTTACTACCCTTGGCCCCCAGACAGTTTCAGGATGATCTTGTTACTGTAACTAACCCTGGAAATTTCAGTGGCTTATCAGGACAGTCTCCGTGGGAGTGGGTTTGGTTAGCAGCTGGGGACTGAGACACTGGATGCCAAAGTGCTACCTGTTCCTTGTACTCACATTTTGTTGGTCAAGATCATGTGGTCTCATCTAGCTACAAGGGGTTTGGGGATTTTAGTTCCTGATTAAATAGCTGCTACTCAGGGATAACTTTGTGCAATAAAAGGGGGGGGGGTGTCTTGCATTTTGTGGGGTTCACATTAAGCAGATACTTCAAACAGAGAGAGTATCTCCTAGACTCTCCACCAGGTTGTTTGAACTGACGATCCATTCTCCCTGGCACCCCTCTTGTGGGGCAAAACCTTAAACCTCAGACTCCCATGTTGGGACACCACTTCCTGATTTTTTTCTTTAGAAATTGCCAAGTCTTCCCTTCTTGCAGGTTATTTTCACTGATGAATCTCCTCAAAGTGAGTAATTTTGTGAAGCACAAATATTGCTGCTAGCCCTTCAGCCCACAGGCCACTGTGTAAGTAACAACAGGTGTGCTTCTTGATCAGTGACCAACCACTGTCGCTTCTTTCAAATTCTGTAGGTGATTGACCATTCAGTTCATACTCAGACAATAACATGTTTAGTTGTGTCACCTCCGTGCCTTATGCGTGACATTTAAAAATAATGTACAATCAACAGAGGGAACTGACCAACAAAGATGAAAGGGCAGAGATCCTTAGGTGGTGCAAATGGATAATGAGCTTGGCCGTCTGTGAAAGGTTGGCAGTTTTAGTGCCCCCAGAGGTGCCTCGGGAGAAAGATCGGGTGATCTACTTCCAGAAATCACCATTAAGGAGCGGGGGGGACGGGGATAATAAAAGTAACAAACCAAAAAAGGATAACACTGGAAGCAAAAGAGTTCTTTTTAAAGTTGCTGCCCAGGGGGATGTGGCTGCTGCCATGAGAGACTAGCTAGGGTGGCCGGAGGCTCTAGTGAAGGGAGCCTCGCCTAGGGCGTGATGAAAGTCGTTTTGATGAAAAGGATAGCAGTATCGCAGGGGAAGTGATGTTGGCAAATAAAGCTCGTACTGAAGGACTTCTCAAACATCCTCCATGGCACTGAGAGCTGAAAAGGAATACGGTAACTCCTCAAGGCAGACGAAAAAAACTCTCACTCCATACTGTAAGTTTTATGAAGAGAAGGAAGCATTATTCAAATTGTTGCTAAGTTTTTTTTTGCAAAGAAATAAAACACTAATTCTTAACATTTTAAAATACAGTGTACTAATCAAATGATCAGGAGGTCTGGTAGCATAGTGGTTATGCATTGGGTTGCTAACCTCAAGGTTAATAGTTTGAAACCACCAGCCACTCCAAGGTAGAAAGACAGGGCTTTCTACTCGTATGAAGAGTGACAGTCTCAGCAACTCACTGGGGAAGTTCTACCCAGTCCTACAGGGTTGCTGTTGTGTCGGCACCCCTCGATGGCATTGAGTGAGTGTGTGAGCGCAACAAATAATCAATTTACTGTTTTTTCCTATTTCCCTGTACATTTAGAGGTGCAATCCATTCTGAAGGTTGTAGTTTTTAATCATTAGTAAGTGCTTCATGTCTTACTTTCAGCAAGCAAGGTGGTATCATCTTCGTATTGCAAGTTGTTCACAAGTTCCTCCCATCCTGATCCCTCATTCTTCATTACTTAGTCCTGCGCCGCCCATTATTTGCTCAGCATACAGATTAAATAAGTATGGTGAAAGGATGCAGCCCTGACACATGCCTTTTCTGTTTTTAAACTATGCAGTCTCCTCGGAGTCTCTGTACAGGTTCCACTGGACCACAATTAAGTGTTCTGAAATTCCCGTTCTTCTCAAGTTTATTCATAGTTTGTTAAGATCCACACAGTTGAATGCCTTTGCAGAGTCAATAAAATAGAAGTAAACATCTTTGTGGTGTTCTTTGCTTCCAGCCAAGATCCATCTGACATCCACAGTTATATCCCTCGGCCCATGCCCTCTTCTGAATCCACCTGGAATTTCTGGCAAGTTCCTGTCAATATGCGACTACAGCTATTTTTTCATTATTATCAGCAAAACTTAAATACATGTGATATTAATGGCATTGTTTGTGATACCATACATACTCGTGTATAAGCTGAGTTTTTCAGCACATTCTTAATGCAGTTTTTGTGGTAAAGCTAGGTGCTTCGGCTGATATTCAGGTCAGCTTACACTTGAGTATATATGGTAATCTCTGCATTCTGTTGAGCTGTGTTTGTTTGGGATAGGCACAAATATGGATCTCTACCATTTGGTTGGACATGTAGCAGTTTTTAAATCTGTTAGTAAAGATGAGTGAGCCCTTCCACTCTTGCATCTGTTTGTCGAAACATCTCAATTGGTATTCTATCAGTTCTTGGATTCGTGTTTTTGCCAATATCCTCAGTGCAACTTGGAAACTCTTCCTTCAGTACTGTTGAAAACCAAGGCTACATTCTTCAGTATGGATTACACTCAACATAACTAAAGCAAAAACTCTCATAACTGGGTCAGTTACTAACATTATGATAAATGAAGAAAATATTGAAGTTGTCAAGCATTTCATTTTGCTTAGATACCATCCATACTCATAGAATTAGTAATCAAGAAATCAAATGACATTATATGGGGCAAATCTCCTGAAAATGACCTCTTTAAAACGTGTTAAAGAGCAAAGATGGTACTTTGAGGACTAAGGTGCGGCAGTTTTATGTCACGGTGTATTCACTTAGCTCATGTGAAAACTGAGCAATGGCTAAGGAAGACCAGAGAGGAACTGATGCATTTCAATTACAGCATTGACAAAGAATATCGAATATACCGTGGCAGAAAGAATGAAAACAATGTGTACTTCCTGGAAGAGGTACAGCCAAGAATATGCCTTCTATGGGAGCATTTGGATCACGTTCTCTGAACGTCATCAGGAGGGACCTGGAGAAGGCTGTCATGCCTGGTAAAGTAGAGCATCGTCAAAAAGAAGAGCCTCCTTCCACGAGATGGATGACGCAGTAGCTGCAACCCTGGGCGCAAACAGCTGAGAGGATGACACGGGCCGTTTCGTTCTGCTGTGCACAGGGTTGCTGTGAGTTGGAACAATAACAGCATACATTTAGAACTAGGAAGTGAGAGGATTGTTAACTTGACCAAAATATTTAAAGGTCGCCCAGAACAGTCATAATTTTTCCCATTATTAAGATTGTGCTGTTCGAGCTTGCACAGTCAGTTTTACAATCCTGCACTACAGTGTAAGAATGAGGCCTGCCTCTATTCATTATATGCACATAACATTTATCCATGTACTCTTCTGTTGATAGATTGGCTCCATTTTTTTTAAACAAGTAATGCTATAGTGTACATCTTTTACCTAAATCTTCATGCGACGTATAAATATTGTGTCAAAGATTGCATTTAAAATTTTGAAGGATGCTGCCAAGTTCTTTTTCAGACAGCTTGTTTCGGTGATTTTCTCCCTTAGTGTGTGAAGTGCCGAAACACCCTTTTCTTGGGTCCTCACTGAGACTTACCTATGTGATCTTTTTATTTTTGCCAGCCTGACAGGAAAACATGTTACGGTGCTCTCTCTTTTTTTTTAACAACACAACATGCTTTTGAATGGGAACAGTTACAAAGCCACTTAGTAAATATGTATGAGGATCTATACAGAATTTTTACGTAACTAGCTTAGTAATAATCATATTTAAGTTGGTTCACTTTCTTTATTACCTATGTTGCTGCCCATCCTTGTACATCTATATTTGTGCACATGTTACACATAAGTAGAAGTATGAAATGGTATATGGCACAATAGGATCGATATATATAACAAAATGCTAACGGTGCTTTTTTGTCCGAGGGAAATTATCGGCAATTTTTATTTCCTCATCTCTTAAGAAAACTCAGCAATGAGTATGTACTTCTTGTATAACTAATTTGCTGTAATTAAGGAGAAAAAAAAAAGGAAGGAAGGAAAACAGGTTGTCTTGGCTTCTACTAAGCAGGACTTTTGTTTTTCCGGCCTAACAACTAGGGTCCAGATAATCAATGTCTCTGTTTTAGAAGAAAGCTGTCCGGTACAGCTCTTCTCAGCAAGTAACGTGCTTCGTGACTCACAATGCGTCAGGGTTCCATTGCCACATGAATGTGAAGTGGAATGAGTGAACTCACGTAGGGGATGAATCATGGATTCAAAATGAGTGGGCCTGAATCACTGTGTCCTCATGTCGCAGGACCCTTAGATGTTCTGTGTCCTGAGGGTCTGCTGGAGCCATGAGCTGGAGATTGCGTTTGATACAGCAGGATAAAGCCTCAGCGCCTTGCTGCCCAGTAGATGTCACTCCTAAGCCATTTCCTTCTTTCTGGGTGGGAATTAGAAATAACACTGCAGAAGGTGGGTTCCTCTGCATTTCCCCAGTTTGGCATTCCTGTGACACCTTTTTTGCTCCGCAGGAATATTATCTTAAGGCCAGTACCTTTCTAAGGCATAGTCACAGTTGCCATGAGGTGTGCTAAAGCCTTATCAAGGAATAGTGGAAGGTAGCATTTCAGGGTCAGATGACGGGAATCTTACACACGTTGTTTATTAAGTTTTATATTAGCAAGCCTTTGAAAGTCTGGAAAGCAGAGAAGTGGAATTTCACATCGATGTGGTTTATGTGTCGGGTGAATGGGCACGGGAGGGACTGACTTCAGTAGGCAGACAACACTACCCACCAGGCTGGGGCTGGCCAGTGGTGTGATAGAGCTGCCAAATGTGACCGGCTAATAATGATACATTTACTATAGAAATAACTCTAGGCTCCCGCACCCGGCTGGGGAGGCCCCCCCCCCAAAAAAAAACCCCAGAAAGAACTCTTGAGAAACAGTAGCATAGTTGATAGAAAAATGACAATATTGCAGTACATTGAGCTCCATAGAGACCGTGCGGGCCAGGCAGAGCCGGACGGCACTGGGCGATTCAGTGCCTCGCGGACGAAATAAAAACATAACAACATGGGCAAAGGCGATCCTAAGAAGCCGAGAGGCAAAATGTCATATGCATTTTTTGTGTGCAAACTTGCTGGGAGGAACATAAGAAGCAGCACTCAGATGCCTCTGTCCATTTCTCAGCATTTTCTAAGAAGGGCTCAGAGAGGTGGAAGACCATGTCTGTGAAAGAGAAGGGGAAATTTGAAGATGTGGCTAAGGTGGACAAGGCCCGTTATGAGAGAGAAATGAAAACGAATATCCCTCCTAACGGGGAGAGAAAAAAGAAGTTCAAAGTTCCCAATGTACCCAAGAGGCCTCCTTTGGCCTCTTTCTTGTTTTGCTGAGTATTGCCCCAAAATCAAAGGCGAGCACCCTAGCCTGCCCATCGAGGATGTTGCGAAGAAGTTGGGAGAGATGTGGAATCACACTGCGGCCGGTGACACGCAGCCTGAGGAGAAGAAGGCCGCCAAGCTGAAAGAGAAATATGAAAAGGATATCGCCGCGTACCGGACTGAAGGGAAGCCCAGTGCCGCCAAAAGGAGCCGTCAAGGCCGAGAAAAGCAAGAAAAAGAAGGAGGAAGAGGACGAAGATGAAGAAGATGATGATGAATAAGTTGGTTCTAGCACAGTTTTTTTTTCTTGTCTATAAAGCATTTAATCCCCCTGTACACAACTCACTCCTTTTAAAGAAAAAAAAATTGAAATGTAAAAAGAAAAATGACAAAGCCAGAAATCCAAGTGGTCATTAAATACATGACAAATATAAACCCAGATTGATAAATCAAAGAAATGGACTTTAAGACAACCATGAGTTCTCTTTCCCCTTAGATTGCAGAGAAACAAGGCAATTACTGCTTTCTGATCTAGGGGCCCATTTTAAAAAGCCATCAAAGTTCGTCTTGAGGGTAATATTCTTTATTGGACTTGACTTTCTGTGAAAACTTCAGAGGGCCCCATTCCACTTGCCTGGGCCCAACTTACTTTTGGCTCCATTTTTGCTTTGCTTGTTCCCAGCTGGGCCTGTCTTCTGGTCAAGGCTCTTAGTTAGGGTACTACCCCCTCTTCCTGTGCTTCGTCAATTGTGAGGAGTTCCCCTTTCCATGGCAGTCCTGCCCCATCTCCTCAGAGTACCTTCCCAAGTCTCACCTTTGTCAACCTGCTTTTAGTGCACCAGCATATGTTGCGGTATCTTTTCTGAATTCCTTTAAGGTTTTTGTCTACTATATGACTTAAGGTTAACTTTTATTAGGGGCTTCAAAAAGTTCCTTGGAAAATGGAATAACAGAATTCTTTCATGAATCGTTTGAATCACACTCAGATAAGGAGCCGTGGTCACTCAGTGGTTAAGTCCCAGGGGGCTGCTGTGTTAGTCAAGGTTGACTAGCGAAACAAATTCATAGACACTGGAGTATAAGAAAGAGCTTTATATAAAAGAGCAATTGCATATTGAGAAACAGCCCAGCCCAGTCCAGATCAAGTGCGAAAGTCCAGTATTAGCTCATATGCCCAATACGAGTCCATTAATTCCTTTTTAGGCTCTCACAGCCATGTAATAATGCTGAATGCAGGAATATAACAGGCCAGTAGGTGGAAAATCTTGTAGATCCAGTGGCCATGGAAACATCTCAGTGCTGGCGTGGGTCTCCATGTGGCTCCTCCAGTTCCAGGGATCTTGCCCCCTCAGTGTGTCTACATGTGACTTGTCAACAGGAATATGAAGTAGATTGTGTCTCAGTGTCCCGCCTCCAGTGAGCTATTTATCCCCTTAGCACCTCCAAATCTGGTCATCAAGCTGTGACCTGATTGACAAACTAAACTCCACTCCTTCACTCTTAATAGTCTCAACGTGATACCGGATTATGTAACGACCACAGCTGCTAACCAAAGGGTAGGCAGTTCTAACCCACCAGCTTCTCTAGAAACAGGTTGTGACAGTTTATTTCTTTAAAACCGTGGGCATTTCTATCCTGTCACTAAGGGTTGCTAAGAAGCGGAATCAACTTGATGGCAATGGGAGACTTTTATATAGTCCCTTTATATAATAAGCACTTTTTAATTGCTTCTTCCTTGCACAACTAAATTGTTTTTGAGGGCAGACATGATGTGTGAGACCTTGTACGAACCCATGAACTTCAGCACGTTGCTTAGGAGATAGTAGGTACTTGGCAACCACATGTTGAAATATCCAGTCATTATTCATTTGAGAAATGGACTATATTACACCATAAAAAACTGCTTTTTCGGACAACAGAAACGTGGGTGAAGGGAGACAGCAAACGGTGTAAGATATGAAAATAATAATAGTAATATGTAGTTTATCAAGGAGTGGAGGTGGGATGGAAGAGAGAGGAGTTGATTCCAAAGACTTAAGTAGAAAGAAAATGTTTTGAAAATGATGCGTTTGATAACAATGGGCATATGGAATGCTATGAGAGATGGGTAAGAGCCCCTAATAAAATGATTTGTAAAAAAATTAAAAATCTGCCCCCCACCCCACCCCTCTTATGTTTAGATCTTCCAGTCCTTGGTGTTTTTGCTGTTGGCCACACTGTTCAGTGCCCTGACTGGTTTACCCTGGAGTCTGTATAATACTTTTGTGATAGAAGAAAAGCACGGTTTCAATCAACAGGTAAAAGAGCAAATGCAAATGGCCTCTTTTCAGACGTGAAGATCTTTGGTGCTTTTGTCTCCTGCTGGTTTTAGAGCATGATTTAATTGGAAAAAAGAGAACTGCAGGTGTGGTAAAGATTGTTTAGAACCTTGCTGTACAAACGTCTCCTGGTTTTCAGCTGATAACGTGCATTTATTTCAACTGCAAAATGCAAGATTGTTCCCTGCCACCTTGTGCCATGTGATGGTCTCACTGCTTGCTAATTTTTAAGCATTGTTTTAAACCAGTTTCTCAGGCTCCTGTTTTCTCTTTTCAGACCTTGGGATTCTTCATGAAAGACGCCGTCAAGAAGTTCACTGTAACTCAGGCCATTTTGCTGCCCGTGTCCTCGCTTCTCCTTTACATTATTAAAATTGGGGGTGACTATTTTTTTATTTATGCCTGGCTGTTCACATTAGTTGTTTCTCTGGTGAGTGAAATCTTTATTTTATGTTTTTGAAGTTCCTTGATGAGATCATTGATTTTGTCTTCCTCAGCTTGCTAACAATTCTTAAATATAATGCCCTTTTGGCTTTAACTTTCAGCTTTAGAAAGAGGAAGATTCATTCTGACTTTACAGTTTCTGCAGTTTTTTCTGATGTTAGTTGTCAGTTAATTGTACTGATTCAGTTGTCAGGCTCTTTTGGGTTCAGGCAATTTTAAATTGTCCATGGCCAACAAGATTTATAATTTAATAGCTCTTGACTGACCGCAGGTGATTTAATTTATTAAAAATATTAGATAACTCTCTATTGCAATTTGTCTCTGAGAATACCAGCGTAAATAAGATAAGGCCTTTGTAGACTATTGTTTTATTTATTTCATAAAAGCATTGTTTAATATTAAAAATCCTAGATGGATT